GGGGATCTGAACACATACAAATGGGCATCTTGGATGTGGAACAGCTACCAGGGCCAGCAGGCCTTGACTAGGTCCAAGGGGAGGTACTAACATATCGAACATATTTGAAGAACATGTACTGCACTAGGAAGATTGGCAAATCTTAAAGTTGCAAAAAAAGGAAATTAAGCAGTTCAAATATTGTTAGTACCTACTGAATCCCTACTGGGGTAGTCCAGGAAGGCTGGGCCAATAGGCCACCTGCCAGGTAGGTATCTATTATGGAGTGACTAAAACAACTGGACACATTTTTGTTTGTGTGTGTTTACCTTTTCGCCATCTCTCCCTGGTTCTCCTTTATAACCTGGTAGTCCTCGTCCTCCCTAAAAACCCCAAAATAAAATGATGTTAATTGTGGTTTTTTGTGGATTTTTTTTCACTAGAAATGGTATTTCTGAAATGTGTACAAATAGATCACATACTTGTATTCCTGGGGATCCTGGAACACCTGGTGATCCTGCAATTCCCTGATATCCCTAAAGAAAATAAACAAGAGATAATTAACATTTCATTATATTCACAGATAATTTCAGGATTGATTCCTGTCTCAAGTTTCTTATACATAAGACTTCACTTAGTTTAAGAAACCAAAATAACGAAGTATCAAATGTATAATAAGGAATTTATATCTTTCAGTCTTTAGGGGAAAAGGTCTTAACTGTTTCTAGATTATTAAAAATATCCAGAAACATTTCAATTAAAAGGAAGGCTTTGGGATAANGAGGAAATCCACAAAATGGAAATTGTTCTGGAAAAATATCCTAATGGAGAACAGTATTGTATGGAACAATCTCCCAAACACCACTGTGCGATGACTGGAAAAAATATCCTGCACTACCACAAGTCAAGGCCATTTCAGGGGTTTATTTTTTAACATTCCCACTTCTGAAAATCAAGGAACCGTATTACAGAGGAGCAACCACGGAAAAGTTGTTAACTAACTTACTAAATTATTTTAATTCTAGATAAAGAACTCTCTGAAACCACAAGGAATGTGAGGCGGAATTTAGATGATAGCACACGGTGACTTTAAGCCCACAATGACTGCCTCAAATCAGATTTATGCCCAGACAATGAATTTCAGAAACAATCAATTCTGAATGAAATCATTGTTGGACAGAAAACAGAGACCTATTCATAAACATACATCTTATTTATCTAATTCAATAAAAAGTGTGGCTTTGTAAAACCCACACACATCTATTTTAAAGACAGCATAATAACCCAAAACAATAGAGCAGTTAGCTTCAGATATGACTAATAAAATTCTTATTCCTTTATTTTTAAATAAGGCACATTTATCCCCAAGGAAACTTACACCAGTTCTTTTAAGGCAAATAAAAAGTCTCCTTTTCATATTTGGTCTTTAAAACCCAGGTAAAGCGAAAAATAAATTTATTCATTCATGCATTCATAGATGCATTCATTCACACATGTGTGGATACTTTTATGCATCCCCCAAACCCAAAATCAGGTTATTTGTAAGAATATCAAAGAAACAGCAATGATCCTGTAGACTACAATGTAGGTCTCCTCAGAACAGGTATCCTCCTCATCTGCCCAGTGTAATTCTTCATTCACCTGGAGGAGGTCAGGTTATCTATCCCCAGAGCATGAAAATGGAAGATATCTTCCATTCCTGTGGGCCTGGCCTGCTCCCTATCATCTCTTAAGCTGTACCTCCATCATTTAAAATAGATCCTCTAACTCTCCCAATATTATAAAGCTTCCCTGACCTAGACCATCTTCTCTGTTTCTTTTGCACTCACTAATCCTCCTGTTTGTCCTGATGATCACTCTAACCCATGTCCTGCCCATGACATGTGCCAGCCTCCCCGTCCATGCTACATCGCAATGACAACCATGCTACTTAATGAACAAAGCAGAACAAACGAATAACAACCATTCATTTAAGAATGTGTACTAGAAACCATACTACGTATTTTTCATACATTACCTCATTT